TCGTTTCAAGTTCACCGTACCTGTTGGCTGTTTTGTTCAGATCAGGACTGGTTTTGTTTCGAGCACGTGCTGCTGCGTGGATGCAAAAGTTAGCAAAAGCCAAAAGCTGTGCATATATGCACCTAGATCATGTGTATAACCTAACATTTAGGCGACCGAATTTTTGTTTGGTGGAGCAATGCAAAATGCTTGCTTGCTAATTCTGTTCATCAATCTGGAATGGTATTAATTCTTTGATTGCAGCTTGCTTGAGGAACAAATTAAAGTTATTCAAACATGAAAGAGGCCGAGTATATAGCAAGCTAGAGAAGGAAGTTCGGTTACGTGGGCCGTGTGCTGGGCTTGGGCTCATCAGTCAGCCTAGCCGTGGCCGGTCAGTAGACCTGGGCTTCCCCTCAAAAAAAAAAGTAGACCTGGGCTTTGCATGCATATCTGTACAAAATCAGTGCAGTCCAATCGTATCGTATCGTGTGTGTGTGTGTGTGTGTATATATATATATATATATATATATTAGCTTGTTCATTGCCAAAATCAGTGCTTCAAAGCCCAGACTTGCGATGATCGCATACGTCAAACCAACGTACTGGACTGTTAATAGTGATTGTACAATCGGCAGGCGGCAGCTGTACCTAAGCTTTTCCTTCCTATACACACACAGTACTCTGCAACTCATCCAAATCATGGATGATGACCATCCATAGTCTGCTACAGATTCCCAGCTGAGGCTGCTACAAACCAATTCTAGTAATTGTTATACTGTGCGGACAGCCACCTTTATTCTATAGAATTCGCAAGCTCTGGAGCTCCCTGTTCCTGAAAAAAGAAATTAAAATAAAAATGCCAGATTTTATATCATCGGAGCTGTCACTTTTCAGGCTGCACACAGTATGTCTCGCATGCGCTTGACCACATTTTGATTTTATATCATTAGATAAGAAATTTGATTCAACATAGGTGAGCTCTTTAGCACCATTATGACAGACACTTCATTGTAGTTACTTTGATGTTATATGTCCCCACTAAAATGCAGTCTATGTATCATACATTTTAGGAACAACAAATAAACAGGTAACTCTATTTGTACTTGGCCAGCATATTTACTGGATTGACTACAAAGCAACAGCCAAACATCATTGGTATAAGGTTGTGCATTTTTTTCCATACCCAGCTGCAAACAGAGACCAGAGTTGTCGCAACAAAAAGCGTGGGCCAAAGCTTTTTGAGGAGTGTTCATACTAATTTGCAAGGCAAGCAGTACAAAACGTTTCACTCATTTATCTGCTATATATGCTGCAGAGTGTAGACTCGTACCTTTGTTTATGCACTTGATGCTTCTGGAAGTGTGATCACCCGAGATTTTGAGTCATATTCCAGCTCGGTACTGCAACTGGAAATAGAACATTGCAACGATGCTTCTTAGAAATAAGCACATCAAGAGTGTAGACACGAATCTAGATAACATAATCTATGATAAAGGGACATACTTTGCACATTTCACTTTGTTTGTTGTACCGCCACTAGAGACTGATAGTATAGTCCCAAAGAAGGAAAGGTTCTCAGTACCACAATTTGGACATGGCCCCTAGATCCAGAGAAAAATAAAATCATCAGTTTCCTTTCTACTTCAATATATATACTCTGCCATAAAGAACAATGGTTAGCGCGACGGACAAATACCTTGAGGATTAGAAAGTCCTGGACTATAGCCTTAGTCAATAACTGTGCTAAGAACAATATTAGGGGCAAAGCAGCAAACCATGTGAAAATGAACTGAAAGGTTTCTGGCAGCTGCATTATTCAAGAAGAATGCAGAGTTAACAGAAGAAGCATGTGGACCTTGACCAATGACTTAAGCATGGATAATTTTTTTATCCTCGAACAGGCAGAGAGCAAAGAATGCATATTAATAAGCAAATTGTGGTCATTCTTCAAAACTATAATTTGATACGTACAGCTTTATTATCCAACAAAAATATAAATACCAAGAAATATTTATTCTTTCAACATTTCTTGGACTAAGTAGTGGAGCTTTAGAGAGGGGGTGTGTCAGAGGGGCAATTGTCAGGATGTATCGCATATTTGGTCATAGCTTAGTAAGAAATTGGATAAGAAATAAGGTACTTGAATCAGGTGGACACTGACCTGGAACACATTGATCTCAAAACCAGTCAATTCATCAATGAAAAAGAACCTAAATGTAAGGAAAGTAATGTTAGATATTCATCAAGAGGTTGAACAAACACAACAAATTAAAGCCTACTAGCTTAAGTAAGTAAAAGAACCGGTGGTGGGAGCTGGCCGGCCGGGGTTCGAACCCCGGTTCTGCACCGCTTGCTTCGTGCAAGCAAATAATTTCCTGTGCAGGTCCTGGACACTCGCGTGGCGCTACAATGGGATTACGACGTGCCCGTCGTCTACGAGGCTCGTGTGGCTTCGGTGATCTCCAGAAGGACGTTTGAGGTGTATAGGTTGTAGCTTCTAGGGGTGTGCGTGTGTGTGGTGGTGTAAGTGTGTTGTGTAGAGTACAGATACTACAACTTGTACACTAGGAGTCCAGGCTCAAAAGAATAACTGGAACAGTCATAGATATATAATAAAAGAAGATTTAAGTATAAGGATGAAGGATCCAAGAACGAGGATGAACTCACAGTCCCAGAGCTACAGTGGCGGCTGGAGCATTTAGAAGGAACATCTTTAGGTAGTCAACATTCAAGTCACTGTACACCTGTACCATATAGGATGCATATCAGAATACTTACTTGCACAGAGTAAAAGGTAATCAGCCTGCCATTGGAATACATAACTCCAATTCTAATATTTTTTAAAACAATTATTTACCTTATGACTCCTTAGACTGCACCTGGGACCCTCCATCACAATGACACTGCCGTCTGTCTAACGAAGGTGATCGAACAGCAAAGCAGAGAACTTGATCAGCGAACATGGACATGAAGTGTGTATATATATCATCCTTGCAAGTACACAGGATGGAAGGAGAGGCCCAACCTTTAATTTGAGTTTGAGTTCGTCGAATTCAGCATCAGACATGATGGGGCTGCCAGCGGCATAGGCCATGGAAGCTTCCAGAAGCTTTTGCTCATCTTCGCCTGGAAACAGCACACAGGAAAGTAGTAATTTGTATCGACGCCACACCTGTTTTTTGCGCAAAGACTTGAGCACAGGCTGTTAGTAGTGGAGCAAATAAACATGCTTACTTAGCATGACGACGCTGCTCCCTCCCACATGAGCTCCTCCTTGAGGTTGTCAAACTCCTCGTTGGACATGATGGCCTTCTGGTCAAAGTAAAAGGCCTGGTTCGTTGAGAGGAACGCTCAATGATGAGGCATCAAGCGAAATTATATCAAAGAATTAAGCTGAAAATCCTGTATGTATGTATGTCCTTGTTGTAGGTAGGGTAAACAAAACCTGACAGGCTTGCAGGAACTCCTGCTCCATCTCTCCGAGCGTCTTCTTCTGCTTCCTGTCGATGTTGCAGTAGGGGAGGATGTTGCTGTCCACCACCTCGTCGTCTTGCACCTGAACCTGGCCTGCCGAATCAAAGCCACAGCCACGGAAAGCAAACCAGTTATATATGAGTGTGTATATTATATATACTTTGCTAGACTAGATGGATAAATAACCGAACTTGTGCGTAGTTAATTAAGTCGAACAGGTGGAGTGCACCCGGTGGCGGACCTTGCTGCTCTGTGGCGCGAAGACAGCGGCGGCGGCGGACGCGCAGCACAGGCAGGGCGCCGCGAGCAGGGCGGGGGCAGGAAGAGAACAAAGAGGCGGTTGTGGTGGCAGCTGGCTTGGAGCGGAAGCGAGGTGGTGCGTTGGAGAGGGATGGGAGGCGAGACGCCGGCGATAGCCACACCTCGGACGCCATGCCAAGGGCGTTGCGATCGAGGCGGTGACTGGCAAGCAAGCGACAGTGATCAGCAGGCGAGCGAGCTGGCTCCTAGCTGGAGAAGAGAGAGTGTGTGTGTGTGTGTGTACGCGCGCGTGGTGAGATGTGGAGCAGCTGGGCGGAACCGCGGGATAATGGAGATATGATTGGTGGGGAAGGAGCTCACTGATTCCCCACTCCTGGGCGGTAGGAATGGGATGTGTGGAGGAGGGAGGAAGAAGAAAGCAGAGCATCCATCCGTTGTCCATTCCTCCTGCTCCTGCTGCGCGCGCGGCTTCGTTAGATTAATCGACACTTGTCGTGTGGTGGGAGCTCACTGCTGATCCTATGGATTTTTCCTTGTTTCAGAAAATTGGCACCAATTGCGACTTGCGAGCAATATTTGGAGATAGGGAAAATCGGTTTCATACCATCTAAGGATCACGACATTCAAAAAATATCATCAAAAACGTCCGTCACGTAAAATACCAGCGAAAGAACAAACTGTTACCTTCAAATAGCATTCTGTCACGATAACCGCGGTTGTCATGAATTCCTCCGTTGAGACACCTTTCTTCCTCAACCCAGCTGCCTGGTTGGGCATGGACACGCTGATAGGCAGCGACACATGCTCGACGCCGCGTGGCTACCTCGCACGCCCAGCTGAGCTGGGTCCGCATCGCGGCGGCCACAGCTGCCTCACGCCCTCACCTCCGTGGACACTGCCAGGAGACCAGTGCCCTGTGTGCGTACGTGCATGGATCATCTATCAATGAGCTCACGGCGCATGCAAGAGCAATCGAGTTTGCGTGCATGCATATAGGAGTACTCGCGATGGCTGGGACCTGGGACGACGGCTGCCTATGCCTAGTCCACTCGCCTGTGCCTGCGCCTGAACGCCAAGCTCGGAGCCACCGAGCTGCTCTCAGCTCTCACCGCCACCGTTCCCCACCGTTGGCGCCACCGTACCACTGCCGAGCCGTGTGCCCCACCATCTCCGCCAGCATGTCCTCACCCCTGCGCACGATAGCAAACAACTCCGGGCCGGAGCCACGCCATGTCGCAAAAACTGCTGATGTCCGCTGCCATGGCCGGCTCTCAGTCCGCCGTCGCTGTTACCATGGGTGCGGACCACCAGTGCCTTGGCCGAGCGTACCACCACGTTCGTCCGGACTTCTTCCGACCGCGGCTCACCTAAACTGGACAAATCTGCTCTGGGACGCTGGATCATGTCGCGCGCCAGGTGCGTTGTTCCTGCTGCTCGCCATGGCCACAACACGGGGAACTCCTACGGACAGCTCCAATCGGAGGCACCTCCACCAAGCCAGCTACACTGTCGCGTCCACCACCACCGCGTGCACCTCCTTCGGCCGAAACTCCGCCGGCAGCCCTGCTTCGCGGGCCGCCACCGTCCTGCTCGCCGCCGGCCGTAGACGCTTGTTTTTTCCACATGGTGAGCCGCCCCATCCCTCTTACTCAACCCCGCACAAGCCATGCCCAAAACAGCCCCTCTAGCACCCCCACGCACCTGACGTGTACCCGTGGCGACCTTGTAGTCGCTGGGTTCGCCATTGCTGCATGTCGCCGCCGTCTCCCGTGTTGCATGTCGTGCGGGCACGGGGCCATGCTCCTATGAGCCATATCAGGCCACGCCACTGACATCGATAGGTGCGGCCGGCCACCGCGAAGGCCGCCGGCTGGTCAGTCACGGCCGCTGTGCCCTCTCCAGGGCGAATCGGGTTGTGCCCGTACGCCGGCGTGTGTGCTCTGTTTCTCTGAAATGGGGGAACAATCCATTCTTTCGGTGGTATTTTACGTAACGAATGCCTTTTGATGGTATTTTTCGAATGTCGTGATCTTTCGATGCTATGAAACCAATTTTGCCTTGGAGATATTATTACTCTGCAGCCTCGCTCGTGTAGTTTTGGCCATCCGACGATGACTTTTACATTTGTGCCACGCTGAGTTGAGAGTTGAGACCAGGAGCGGCTAGCTGCCAAGATGTAGTGTAGCTGACGTAATATTTCTCTACCTAGTTTTAGTCATGAATGCTACGACGGGTTATTTGGATTCTCTGTGCCCCTCGGGCCTCTCGAATATTCAGGTTATAAATTTTCTGGTGGTTCATGTGACTATTTTTATGTTTTTTTTTGTTGTTTCGACACATTTAACAGGGCTTTCTCGACAATCTGCGACCTTGTATAATTTCAGTGGCTTGGTGCTCTGATGCTGATTTCTACGTACACGCCCCCCCCAACCAACCAAAACTCCAAAGGCCCTAGAATGCCTTGAAAGTCATACCAAACGTGTTAGGACAAACCAAAAGGTGTAAGCACAACCTTTGAATCATTCGCCTCCCGATGCCCTAGTAACCCCAAAAACACCTGAGAACATATCATTCGTGAACGATACATCTAAGCTACCCGGTAGTCGTCGGTGCCCCAAAATTGTTAGAAATTCATGAACTATAGCACACGAAATGTGGCAGAAATGTGAAATTGACCCAAGAAGCAACACAAGCCTCAAAACTCCTTCAGGTCACAGAGTGCTTAGAAATTTGTGTCAGACATGCTTGAGTGACCAGAAGGCGTGGAAGTATCCTTCATATCCTAGGTCTTCCTCATGCCCTGTTATGCCAAAAACACCTAGAGAACATGTCATTTGCGGTCAGGAAAGGGAAAGAAACAAATGTCACTAGCCACTTGACCTCTGGAACACTTGAATGCAGCCTCTGGGCTGCCTAACAGTCGACCAGTCTGGGGTCTGTGCATGACAGATGCTAGGGACTCTAGAATAATACTTCATCGTCAAAACTCTATAATAATACTATTGGAGCTATTTGTAGCGACATTTTTCATATCAATTTCTCCTGATATCTATGCTTAATTTGTATGCTGTATATGCCACTGACTAACCCCTGGAAACTAACGTTTTTTGCAAGGTACTTATATTTTTTTATCCATGTTGCAAAATAAGGTATATATGGTGTAAAGATGCACTTTGCTAAAGATCTAGAAGATCAAACAAGATTTAGAATGCCGTGGGCGCCCAGGACAAGCTTAGTGGGCCTAGGAGGGCCCAACATTAGCTAGAATGGGCCACACGTCATCCAACGCCATCTTTAAGAAGCTTTCTAATCGACTGGTTTCGCTTCCCTCAAAAAAAAAAAATCAACTGGTTTCGCTGAAGTAATCTCCATCGGATGAGGATTGATTTGGCGCGCAGTAGATGGCACCACCGAATTAATGCCGCAAATTTTGGACACCGTAGCAACAAGACGGCAACGTTGCGAAGCTCCCGTTGTCGTGGGCCGCGACGGCCTGAACGGCCCACAACGTTTTGCTCTCAACAACTCCACTCTAAAAGATTGTAAAAACAAATCACTCCAGAAACATTCGCATCCTGGCTTCAGTTGAGTCCAGAGACGCGACCTCTCCACTCGCCGCCGATCTCACGCTGCCATGGATTACGGCATGGTCCACTCCGAACTCTCCCCCACATGGCGCAGCCATGGCGGAGGACGCCACCAATGCTGCCGCTGAGGGCAGCCAGCCTGCGCCCCGTGAGGGATCTGCCGACGCCGCCCCGGCGGCTACCGCGGGCGCCAAGAGATCCAAGTAGGTGGATGTTGCGTGGACGGCTTGCTTACGAATCGGGCGGCTTGTTTGACGGCTCGGGCGGCTCGCTTGATGACTCGCTGCAGTTGGACGGGTACGCGGAGACGTAGCCGAACGGGTGTAGTCGCTTGATGCATCTCGGCGAGTAGATGAACCGCCGTTTGCGGGATCCTCCAGGTGACCCACGAGTGCATGCATATCACAGCAATCTTTGCGTGGCCTTCGTGTGCACTAAAACACGGGGTCTGTCGGCGAGGTACTTGCATGTTCGAACCGAGGGCGTTTGTCGTGGAGATACACACGTACATGCAAGATCTTATTTATTCTGTTAGCTTGTATGGCATCCGTACGTCAGCTTGCGGACTCCAAAAATTTGTGCCTGACGAAATATATACCCATAATAATAGATTGTGTGGTAGAGGTACGCGTGATCAGAAACTAGATGGTAATACAAGCAACGAGACACAAGATTTAGACAGGTGCAAGCCGTCAATATGACGTAATACCCTACGTTCTGTGTTTCGATGGATTGAATTGAGATGTCTGGATGCCGACCAGAGGACCCATGTCCCTCCTTATATACTCTGGAGGAGTAGGTTACAAGAAAAATATCCTAGTCAACTATAAGGTAGGTATTCTATTTATATTACAATTTTCATAAGAGTCCTAGCATATCTTCTACCGTCTTGTGGTATCCGGGGATAAGTCCCCGAGCACCTTGTATCCGCTCAACAACGCCGTCTTGATCACGTCCGAGCAGTCAAACCTGAAGCCAACCAGTTTAATTGATAATTTGACCAATTCAACTGGTAGTCCGAGCGGTAAAATAGGCAGTCGACCAGTTTAACTGGTGATCCGGCCAGTGAAAATGGTTGATGACCAATTTAACTAGTAAATATGCCTCAGACTTACTCAAGTAAGGCTTACCATAAGGATATAAGGGCTGAAAATTAAATTTGAGATTTCTTCACCTCAAATGAAGTATAGCCACTTAGACTCCGTTTGCGAGGTCGGATGATTATCATCCATGACTTAATCAATATGGAGGGTGAATTAGGAAAAAAGCACTACATTCACCGCCAGGTGAAGTGTAGCCACTTAGTCCCCGAGCCTGACAGTAGGTAAATAATTCACGTGGTGGCAGAGTCAAAAAAAAATAGAAGACTCCAGATGCGTAGCCGATCACACAGTCAGTCCCCAGCTTAGCTAAGGAAAATACACTCACCGCGAGGTAAAGTGTACACACTTAGTCCCCAAGCCTGCTACAAGATAGAGAAACATCTTGTAGCAGGAGCAAAAAAATCAAGTGAAAATATTTTACAAGATCAAAGGAGTAAGCAGCGTCGTCTTGATGCTGTCCAAGCATTTTAACGTGCAGCCGAC